CCAGAAAAAAATTCCTCTAATCATTTTAATGTAGTTCTTAACACTGATTTAATCAATTCAATCTGGTAAATATGTACTACTATCTACCAAGTTGAATAAAAAACAATTCATGTAGTCCTGATAGCATTGTGCTAATCAGCAGGATTATAGAAGTACCGAATCTTCGCTTCTAGTAGAGTTTGGACAGGGGAAGTCTGATCTCTGCCTCTCTCCTCTCTGTTTCAGTCTCTCTGTCTTCCTCCCTGATAAACAGGTGCCCTATATGTATCTTCACTTGGGATGCAATGCATTGTTTGAATTGTATCTGAGTAAGTCTGAAACCCCAGAATTGGAGGAAAAGCTTCTTCCTGAATTTGATGTTCTCTAATACACAGAAAGAAAATGGAGCTTCTGAGTGACAACAGCTTAGACAGATGCTGAGAAAGATATTTATGTATGTGTGCAGAAGTGAGCGAGAAGGTCATTCTAAACAGAAAGGTGGGAGCCGATTTTATAGTCACACAGAACTTTCTAAAGAGAGGAATGAATAGGATTGGTGAAGAACTGATACACCAAGATAATGCTGAGAGAAATTAGGAACAGCTAGAGAGTTAGGATATATTTTGGAGAAAAAAATAAAAACCACCCTGAATTTATCTACTTGTTCATCAATATGTTTGAGATGAAACATATGAAAATATGCAAAAATATAAATATCACTCTGCTGATGATATTGCAGATCCCCCAAAGCAAAGGAACACATGCCCCATTCATTCCCTGTTGACATCAGACAGTTTATCAAGTGTTTGTGACCTAAAATGAGTGGGGGAAACTTACTATCTTTAGTTCATTTCTGCTTTCCCTCTAAGCTCAGGGATAAAACTTCAACGTGTTTATAGAGCTAATATTTTATTACATTTAATTTTCTTAAAAATATATAAACACATTGAACACTTATAATTTATAACATAGCCTATATATTTATAATTTACTTATATGAAATAATGTGTTTCTTTGAGGGGGGAGGGAGAGGTAGAGGGGGAGGGAGAGAGAGAGAATCTTAAGCAGGCTCCATGCCAGCTCAGAGCCTGATGTGGGGCTCAATCTCACAACCCAGAGATCATGACCTAAGCCAAAACCGAGAGTTGGATGCTTAACTGACTGAGCCATCCCGCCGCCCCTATATGAAATAATTATTAAAATATACAATTAATAGTTCCTCAGAGTCATATATTTTCATATATTAAAGTGTTCGCTCATGGGGCGCCTGGGTGGCTCAGTCATTAAGCATCTGCCTTTGGCTCAGGTCATGATCCCAGGGTCCTGGGATCGAGCCCCGCATCGGGCTCCCTGCTCCACAGGAAGCCTGCTTCTCCCTCTCCCGCTCCCCCTGCTTGTGTTCCCTTCTCTCACTCTCTCTCTCTCTCTCTCTCTCTGTCAAATAAATAGATTTTTAAAAAAAAATCTTTAAAGTGCTTGCTCATGAAAATACTTTCTTTATGTTAAAATATTTTAAGTACTTCAGTGTTCTGCTTTTGTGATACTAAGAATGTTGGGTTTTTTTTAAGATTTATATTAAGTGTTTTTCTCTTTTCTCTAAACAACAGCTAAATTTAGAGGTTCTGTCTTATGTCACAAATGATCCTTGTTGGTACAAAAAAGTTTATATTTTGAGGGGCTATGGAGACTTCTTGTCCTTTAAGCCTTATTTACAAAGTTTTTCTCAATTGTTTTTTAATGTCCCTCATATAAGCTTGCCAGCAATAAGCAAAAATAAAGCTGGGACTGTGTCAAAAAATTCACTGGCCCACATTCATCCTTTTTTCAGCAGAGTTTACTCAATAGTGTTCCCCATTCAGCTATACTGTGCCAGCCAGCGGAAACAGCTAGTTGTTGTCTGAAATGAAGAATAATTGGAAACATGGTTCCTGTTTCTTTTCCTGCAAGTAACAATTCATCCATTTAACATTCTTTTGGTGCTCTTTAATTGTGTGCTAGACAGCGTTGTGCTCACTGGTCAGTTGAGGCCAATCTGAGAAATGTTAACCTTCTATTCCCGCTGCTGACCCTCCCACTGGGAAGTAGTGATGACCATCTGATGGCCTGGCACCTCCACCTAGAGTCAGTGACATGTGACACCAGCAGCTTTGTGTAGGTAAATGGACATCACGCTGGAAAATGCTGGGCTGGGAGAGAGAGTAGTAATTATAAAAGATAAAATTTCTAGCTATTATGATCCCAACTCTAGAGGTAAAGAAACAAAACCCAGGAAGGTTAAGTCACTTGCCCAAGGTCACTCTGCCAGCAAGCTGTGGAGCAGAGTGTCTAGATGCAGGCACCTTTCTTCTGTACCCTATACTACAATAGCTCTTGTCCTTTATGGCCAAGTATATGATTGGTTCTATAAATATTCCATACACCTATAAAAAGATTGCATGTTCTCTTTTCGTAAAGTATAAATTTATTGTTTTTTCTCCTCTATACTAACCACACACATAAACCCATATATTCATGCATGTGTAATAAGCTTGTAAGTTATATTATAGTCTTCTGTATTCTTGCTTGTTTTTGATTTCATATTCTATCAAATTCTGAAAGAGCTGCGTTAAAACCTACTACTGTGGTTGTCATTTCATCAAATACTGCATGTCTTTCTAGTGGGTTTTTTTCTCTTCTTTTTTAAAACTCTCTAGTGGTTTTGATTTTTAAAATTTTTATGCTATATTTTTTAGTGCATAATAGCTGACAATTATTATATTTTCTTCAAGTTTATAGCTGTACCACAGGAAATTGAGCTGACTCCATGTAAAATGATACCAAAATAATAGTGGCTTAAATAAACAGAAATGTATTTTTCTCAAACATAAAAAATAGCTGGTGGTAAAAAATTGAGGACTGGTATAGAGGCTCCATGGTCATCTGGAACGCAAGCTCCACTTGTCTTCCTGCTCTGATGCCTTTTAGTATCTGGTGTCTGTTCTCCAAGTCATGGTTGCAAAATGGCTTCTGCAGCTCCAGCCATCACGTGTATATTCCAGTCATGAGGTGGAAAAAGAAGAAGGCAGAAAGGAGTAGCTTCCAGCTTCATTAGATGTCTGCAGGCCCACCCACTAACGTCTGCTTACAACTTACTGTCTACCCCAATTGTAAAAGAGGATAGGAAAATGAATTTGTTTTTATCTGTACACATTGCTGTGCCAAATTAAATTGAGGTTTTGTTAGCAAGGGTGAAAAAGGGATGGGCATGGATGGCATAGGCATGGATGGCATAGGCATCTAGCGATCTCTGCCACTGCGCCCTTAATCTTCCCATCCTCTTGTTCCTATTTAATGTTTTTGGCCTTGAATCTGATATTAACACTGTCACTCCTGGTTTTGGATTTGTCTGACATATATCTACCCAATCATTTATTTTCAAACTTTCTTTGTCACTTAATTTGAAGTGAATTTCTTATACATAGCATGTTTTTCAAAATAATCTGAAAGTTTGTCTTTTGAAAGGGGCATTCAACTCATTCAATTTTTATGGTAATAGATATATTTATTTTTATTCTTTTTTTTTCTTTTTATCCCTTATAATGCTTCACTGTTTGTTTTTTTCCTTTTTCTCCCCCTTTCCTTAGGTTTGCTGGCTTTATCTTATTTTAAGAGTTATTTCCCTCCCCTCTGTTAAGTTGAAAGTTTTCACATGAAGTGCTTAGGTGTCTTAAATAATTAAATGTTTTTTTTTTTTCTGACTGAATAACCATATCCCTGTATCTCAGAGATTCATTGTGAATATACTAAGGAAGAAATGCAATATATTTCTTCAAAAGTAGAGGAAGGTCATTGGCAGCATGTAATAATTAAGGAAGTTTATTTTCCTCACTCCCTTCAACATCACACATAGACAGCAATGAACTCAAGCAGAGCTGGAAATGAGCCCTGTTTCAACCGAACACCACTCCTGTGTGTAGCACTTTCCAGATTCCTTTCAGAGTCTAATTATTGAAGGAAAAAGAAAAGCTATTATCCTGGATTTTGAAAGTCCACATGGGAATGAATTATGATAAGTATTCATCCTTACATTTCTCTAAGTCTTCACTGAATGCAAAACAAGTTCTCATGAGTGATAAAGCAAACAACAACAGTGAGTAAGACTGCAGTACATTTCGTGGCTGACTATTCATTGGTTTTAAAAGAAGTCTTAAAACCTTTTTCCATGGAAGGCTTGAGTTCTACAAAGTTTGTTATAGTTCTGTAAGGAACTTGCATATGAAATTTAGCTCCAGATTACTTGGTGAAATTATTAAGCCTTTCTTGATACTTTTACCTTTTCATGAATACATTACTTCCAAAAGGACATTTTTTTCTCTAGTCTGGCTTCAAATTATACCTTCCGCTTCATGCCACAGCAGTATACTTGTTCCCAAGAGCAACTGAGAATCTTAAAATTAAGCGAATGGTACAAGTGTTACCATCTAGGTAGGAATTTTCCTATTTTATCATGGAGAACAATGTAAAAAAAGAAACCAAAGTTTTGCTAAAGCCATATAACTTCTACTCAACTTCATCATTCTAACTTACTTCTTTAGTTTTTAAATATTTTTTAAAAGATTTTATTTATTTATTTGACTGGGAGAGAGAGAATGAGCACAAGTAGGCAGAGCGGCAGGCAGAGGGAGAGGGAGAAACAGACTCCCCACTAAGCAGGGAGCCCGATGCGGGGCTCAATCCCAGGACCCTGGGATCATGACCTGAGCCAAAGGCAGATGCTTAACCGACTGAGCCACCCAGGCGCCCCTAACTTACTTCTTTAAAAAAAAAATATTATTATTTTCGATTCCCTGGGGGTATGATTTGGCTACAAATTGGTATGCATTTTGATGAATCTTACCACAATAATTCCATACAGCAAACTACTTGTACTTTGCAAAAAATTTTATATATATCTAATAAATAATATATTACATACAAGAAATGCTCGGCCTTGAAACATTTAGGTTATAATATTTGTCTTGGGGCTCTCTCTTTCTCTTCAGGATCAAGAATGGAGTGACCCCTCATTCTGTCACTCACTATTATATCATTGGGGCAAAGAGACAAAGACTCTGTTCTGTTGTTGGAAGTGACTCCTTTTCCATTATCACTATTTTCCTGCAATACTTTAGTCAAAAGGAGCAAGGCACTATGTCACAGGTAGAGAATAATTAATAAATTAATAAATTTAAAATGTCCTACCCTTGTCCTCTCGTTAAGTATTTTCCCTCTAGTAGGGACTATGTAAGAAGCTAGCCCCACTTCAGCCTCAAGAGAAGTGACAGAGATACGAGAATGAAAAAGAAGAGTGTCTGACAAAAATACAATTATTTTAGGAAACTATAGATAAATAAACATGTTATGAGATTTGAATCAGCATGTAGTGTGAGTTTAATTTTATTGCCTACTAATATTGATTAAAAATGAGGATTCACAAGATTGGCCCTATGTTGAAGCTGGATGACAGGTCCATAAGGATGGGTTCATTTATACTATTCTTCTTCCTTTGGGTATGTTTGAAAATTCCCGTAATGAGTTTTAAAAAGAAAAGAAATAAGGTTTCTAAAAACTGTTCTGGATCGGTTAATTCTGAAACACGGATTCCTCTTTTTATGCCCATCAAAAAGGCATCATAAATATGTTCATTAATGGAGTTCACAATTGGTTTGGATTCAGTATATCGACAATTTTCTTCAACCCCATGTCTTAGTCCTGTAGTGGATGCTCTGTGATCGAACTTGGAAAATAACAGACTCGTCCAGCTTTCATGAGTTAAGTGAGGAAAAAAAACCCGTGACTAAATTTTATATCTTACAGAAGTATTTGAGGAATAACCATGTTTAAAAGGAGAGTTTTCTCATGAATTGTATAGAATTCTGTTACTATAGAGAGACTGCCTTCTTTGCTAAGAACAAGTAGGCAATAAAGATTATAAATAAATGAACCATTCTAAAAGTCTGTTTCATAGTGTCTTCTCTTTATAAAATTTCTCATATAAGGTGCAGCTTCTTCATTTTCTTCTCAGCTGGCCTGGGCTTAGGACGATGATCTGCCACTCTCATGTATCAAGTAAGTGCTAGAACATAGAAATATGTAATCCTTGCCTAGGGTACAGTTTGAGTGGGTAGATGTGACAACCGAAAGGCTCTGGAACTCTAGTGGGGTACAAACGCAGTGGTCTCCAGGAGGCCTGTGTGATAGATGTGACCATGGCATGCTTGGCGACTTTTCTGGTTGGTTTGCTTAGATTTCAACCCAACTTTAACGATAGGGTGAAATGCATACTACATGGTATCAGGAAGATGTGGAGCGGCTTTGCCACTCAGATAAAATTAAATGCTTAGAAATAAAACCCCTAAAAACTGGATATAGGGAAGAAAATATTTTATCATTACAAATCAATCAGATTTTTACTAAATGCCTCTTCTGATGATTGCTCACACTTTAAAGCTAGCAAATCTTGGTTTACAAAATACGTTCACATACATTATCTTACCTGATCCTCCCCATGAACCAGTGAGGTAAGTGGGGCACTCTTAAGATGAAGAAATCGCATCTCAGAAATGTAAGTGCTTCCTGAAGGTCTTATACCAGCTAGATGGGGCCGGGGGCCCAGAAACCACCCAGGTCTCCACACATCGTCCTGTGGTCATTCCCTGTTGACCGCCCAGTATTGTGCTTCTCTAGCCCATGTTTGGTCCTGTGGGGGATTGAAAAGGAGTAAAGCCATGATCCCTGCCCTCAGAGAGTTTATGATCTAGATGGGAAGATAATAAGTTTTACATAAGAAAGCAAGCAGAGAATTATTAAGCATTAAACTGTATGAAATGGGCTATAACTACAATAACATTTGGGTTATTTTAATTGGAAAATAAGGTGTGATAAATGCTACCCAAGCACTGAAACATGCATTTGTAGGTGCCCAAGAACCCTGGTCCACCGAATGTGTCTCAAGTCTTCCAGCCAGGCAATACGTGCTTTCCTGGAGGAGTCCCATGATTGATTCTTGACCGGGAGGAAAGCCTGTAGAGGAGAAAGGAGAAGACAATATCTTTTCATACACTATCCTGTACTTGCGGGTACAATCTTGCACAGCTCCCCAGTGACACATGGTTGCTTGCAAGAGCCAATTCTTAAATTGCTGAATTCTTATTAGCCTCTGTTGAACTTCCAATGAGAACCGGAAGCTTGTGGTGGAAGCTAGTCCTGGCACATCTTCGTTAGATCCTCCAGGCCATCAGTGGAGGCTACGAAGCAAAGTGCCTCTTTGCCTCCTCCTATTTACCTAACTGCAAAGGGAGGAAAGTGGAAGAGTCAAAATTTTTTAAGAAAACTGCCTAGAGGCAGAAGAATGGGCACATTTGTTCTACCCTCAGAGGAACCATGCACTTCAAAAGTCTGCGGGGAATCTGTGAGCACTTTTATTTCCTGACGTTCTAATGCTCAAACCTAAAACTTTCCAAACCCATTTTTGTTTTAGAAGCAAAATTCTACTGGAAATATCTGTTCTTTCTTTTTTGGCAGAGTAAACCTGTCCTCAGAGACAGCTGCAGGCCAGTCACTGTCTGTGGCTCCCCCACTGAGTGGTGTATTCCCTGGGAGGCTCCATGGGGACTTCCAAAGCCATCAGTGAGTGTCTGGTAGCAAGACTTTAAAATAATGCACATGGTTATCCAGGCTTACCGGCATTATGGACACTGCTATGCAGCCTTCTTCAAAGTGCTAATTTGCTTACATGTCCTTTGGAGTAGGCCAGCATGGGTGGATCTCCTATACAACCCAGCAGTCACATGGCAGAGCAGTGCTGGAGTTACTCCTCAAGGCTTGATGCCTGCCCACCTGAGAGGAGGAGAGGGCATGGGAGAAATCAACTTGGAGTGGGAATGCAGCCGTAACGTGCTGTGTGCAAATGTGAGGGTATGCTTCGGAGGCATGGTCAATGCTTCCAACAACACTGAGCACTGGAGAGCAAATGTGAACACGTGCTGTTTGACTCTGAAGCCCAAGCACAGAATGGCTACTGCTGGACCACCCCTGCCCTCAAAGAGGCAGCCACTGAGTTATTTTTTCAGGAGTGGCGTGGATTTATGCTGAGTCATTCAGGCTTTCATTTCACCCAGTGGTTATGAAAATGGATTCTAGAACCAGCTCTGACACATGTGTGACCTTATGGGCACGTTAGTTAAAAACTCTCTGTGCCTTCAATCCCCCATGTTAGGACCTTTCCCAGCACATATTATTCACTGTATAAGCATCTGTTGTTTTCATACATTCGGTCTTCTAGTATTAACATAAAACCTCCGCTCTGGACACTGCTACATGTTGAGATGTAAAAACAAATATGATACAGTATGTGCCTTCAAGTGGGCTTACACGCTACCTTAGAGCCTCAGGCTTTATTTCTCTTCTGTGCCTAGCACAACAGAGGTACTCAATCAATGTGTTTGAATGTATGACTGGATTGAGGAAATGGGCAAGGATACTGATAATTTCAGTTACATGACTATATTTAACAGTGCCTGCCACACAGGAAGAAGCTGGCACTGTATAAGCATTCTTAGCTATTTTAATTATTAATTTGGTAGAATAAATGCTGAGATTTTGAGCATGGACTAGAGGTTGAGGGCGAGGAGGTGGAGGTGCACTCAGGGAAGTCTTCCAAGAGGCAGTATCATTGAGCTTCGTTTTGATCAGTGAGTGGGTGTTAGCCAGTAAGAGAAGAGGGCTAAGTGTGTTCTAGGCAGCAGGAACATTGTGTGCAGAACTAGAGAGCCGTGAAATAGCACAATACATTCAGGGAGCTCCGAGTGGGCAAGTACGACCAGAGTCCCATCCTCGTGGCGACATACAGCATGTGCTTGTTAAATGAGTATTTGAGATCAGAGGCTGGGAAATGAAACAAAACAAATGCGACATCGCTTGTGTCACCTTGGCCTTTAGCATTGACTACATAACCGGGTCCCCGACCCAGTGTGTGGTGAATTTTATGTTGTTTGGTATAGTACTCGCCTTCGTACAAATGCTATTAGTTCTCCACACAGTACTGCACCATGGTCAGCCCCTTCTTGTCTTCTCATTGAGGATATGAACTGGCTTCATTTATCTGCCTTTCCAAAGTGATTGAGCTGAATTAACAAGAGAGTTGATGGAATCATTGTATAGATGAAGTTGTTTTTGCATAGTAACATAGATTCTCTAGATCAAGGGTGAGCAAACTATGGCCTGAGGGCCAAATCCTCGCCACTGCCTGTTTTTGTAATTAAGTTTTTTTTGGAGCACAGCCATGCATGTTTGTGTACATGTAGTCTACAGCCCCTTTAGCACTATTTAACAGAGCATAGTGACAGAGGCTGTACCGCCTGCTCGGCACAAAATATTTACTAGCAGGCTCTTTGCAGAAAACATTTGCCAATCTTGCTCTAGGGTCATCTCTTCTAATCGGATGCTAAGGAGAAATCAGCTAATATTTAAGACATAAGATTGAGTTGGTGTAGAACCAACATGGCAAACAATAGGTTATTAAATTTTTTAAAAATTCTCTGCCAAGAAGAGAGAGCATTACAAATATGTTAGCCATAAAGAGCTCAATAAATATGCATACATGAATAAACACAGATTCTGTGATTGGCCTTCAGACTTGACTCTGAGCTCCTGGCAGTGAGGGGGTAAAAAAAAAAAAAAAAGGGGAATTGACACCTTTATCCATTACCTATTGCTTCATCACAAACCACTTTGACATGTAGTGGTTTAAACCTGCTACCATGTACTATTTCTCATGAGACTGTGAGTTGGTTGAGTGTTTTTGCTAATCCAGGCTGGGCCCGACTGATCTTGGTGGGCTTGCTCATGCATGTGTGGGCAGCTGGTACATTAGCGCTGGGCTGGCTGGCCTGGGATGGCCTCAGCTAGGCTGGTTCATCTCTACTCCACATGATCTCTCATCCCCCAGCAGGTTAGCTTGGGCTTAGGCAAGTATCCGTGGTGGGTTCCAAGAAAGAAAATGGAAGCACACACGTGAAGCTTTACGCTTGCAACTGGCACAGTTACTTCTGTTGCATTCTAGTGGCCAAAGCAAGTCAAAACCCAGCCTAAATTCAAGGAGCCAGGGAATAGACTCTAACTCTTGGTGTGAATTGCTGAAAAGTCATGTTGCCAGGGGTAGAGAAACAAGAGGGAGAGAATTGGGGCCATGATTGAAGTCAATCAAACAGCATCTAGATTAGCATTTTTCCAACCAAAATATATATATTTTTAAAGTCATCTCTGTGGTCTGAAGTGGAAAAGAATAGTCATCATATGTTTATTCAGCCCAACCCACAGGTATGAATCATCAGTGTCTTCAACTAAGAGGACCGATATCTTCTAGTTAATGACAGAAGCGGAGGAGGAATGGAAAGAAGCCTGTCAGAGGTATGGTACTATCATATGAGACCCAGACCCATATTAAAATGCCACTTGACAAATTTCACCAGGGAATCAGACTCCATTTTAATGGATTAACGGAATAAGCAAAATCATTATTAGAGAAGTAACCAATGACTAAACTCAACATTAGCTTTTGAGACTAAAGCCTAAACAGACCTACAATATTCCCGGTGACAATTCCCATTCCAGTCCACTTCTGTTTTGGGTTTGCATTAAAATTGGTCACCGTATTCAAAGACAACATTGCTATCTATGGATACAGGTATGATAAAAAATACAGGTAGGAATAAATATTCTTTTTTAAAACTTACTAGCCATGCGACACCTTTTTTTTTTTATTGCTGGAATATCTTCATTACTACCAAACTTGCCTCAATAAATAATAAGCATAAATAGCAAAAGTGGATGCCAGAAATCCTCCTTAACTGTTCTTTTCCTGGTACCATGGGTTGTTAGTAAGAAGAGAGTAACCTTAGGTAGCTCTTACTCCTTACAGTCATTCAGAATCCCCTAAAAATCAAAACAAACTACTAAAGGCAAAATCAAAATTGCCAAACCACCCAGACAAGCCCCCCAACCTAGGTTTGAGAACGTTCTTTCTGGCCTAGAGCCAGACAGGTTTTTGGCCTTGTTCTCAAGAAGCCGATGGCTTTACACATGGTCTTCCATGGCATTGTCACCATTAGACTTCTGTGGTAGGGCAGCAGGACATGGGGAAGAACATAATGGGATTTAAGGAACTATTGGACGCCTGTTGACTCAGACATCGGGATCAGCTGTAAATGGAAATGCATGTCAATTTCGATGGCGTGAAAAGGAACTGGAGTGTTATTATTGAAGAGGTGGAGAGGAGGCCTTCAGGATGCTTGCAGATGACTCGTTTCTGGGAGGGTTGTGGGGAGGTAGAGCTGTCTCGGGAAGAACAAACGAAGCTTCCAAAATGTGGGTTCAGGAAGTTAACCTTGGGCGGATCACATAAAGGTTAAATGAGATATATAAAATAGCTGGCAGAGTACTTAGGAGGGTAGACCTCAATAAATGTTGGTTTCTTCCCTCTCTTTGCATCTGCCACCCACCTTAGGGATTTCTTAAAAAAACAAAAGACCTGCCAGCCAGCTGTCATTAGAAAGATGTCAAATACGATAAGCTGCTGATAGGTGGTAACGATCAACAAAATTCACACTCAGGTGGATGGAGCAGGGCACGTCACCTCTCCCGCCCCTCTCCTTATCACAGCTTGGAGGCAGCACAAAGACATTCCTTCCTTCCTGCAGAGGAAGTGTGTGTGTTCTCTCAGACCTACCTTGGCGTTCCTTGATGTCTTAGAGAAGCAGATGACCCTGGCTGAGCAAGACAGTCAGCAGAACAGCAGTCCTTGATGCTGCAACTGGAAATTTCCATTCTTTGCTTGCAGCTCTGAAAAAAAAAAAAAAAATCTAAAGAGCCCAGTAGCTGGGAAATTTCCACGATGGAAAATTTTAACATATTCTTTAGCTCTAAACTATGCAGGTTTACGGAGACTATTTTTTTTTCTTTTGGTAATTTCCTTCTTTAACAATAATTTATGAACATGGTAACGCTCCAGCTGTGGGAAGAAGGAGGGCAAGATGACTTGCTGGAGAATGGGTATGGTTGGCTAGTTGTAGGCTGGACTGTATACACATTTGACCACCCGAACCATTGAAATGCAGATCAGTACAAGACCCACGGGTTGGGAACTCATCCAAAATAGAGGTAGTTTGCTCTGGAGCACTGCAGAGAAATCTGTGTAGAGACTGGAAGTGGAAAGTGGATGGATACAACTTTGGAACAGGAGATGGTGAATTCTATTGCTGCAAAGAAAAATCTCAAGCAGATTCCTTAGGCCACTGCTTCTTAAATGTAAACAAGCATATAAATCACCTGAGAATCTTGTTAAGATGCAGATTCTGATTTGGTAGCTCTGGGGTGGGGCCTAAGACTCTGTGTTTCTAACAGGCTCCCAGGTGATGCTGATGCTGCCCTTCTGAGGACCACACTGAGTCACCAGACCATAAACAAACCTCATCACTATGAGGTCAGCTTGCCTTCCACAGCAAAACAGAGTCAAAGGGCAGCCAGAGGTGAGCCCCCCTGGGGTCGTTTTCTTAGGTTACAAAGCTAGGGTCTAAGAGTAGAACTGAATGCCTTCTGGAAAGATGCTTCATGCAAGTCTGAATAAAACGGATCTTTTGAAATGTCGGGATGCATACAGTTACCAGAAGGCTGCCTACTCAGCAGGCTGGAGTTGGTGCTTTCTAGAATGCAACGTCTTTCCAGAGAAACCCCTGTAACAAAAAAGGTGGTGAAGATTCCTATGCTGGTCCCGTTTCCTCAGTGATTCCCTAGCATTGTGGCATGTGGGGTGAACCACCAGTGGACTAGCTCCAGTTATTAAAGGAAGGCTGTTGGCCAGCATGGTGTAAAGAGGAAAAGGAATCTGGGAAATAAATTACTTCCATCTCAGCCAGAATAATTGTTTCACGTTTACTGAAATAAAATAAAAAAGAAATAGGAAAATTTTCCATTTTCTTAACAGCTAGCTCACCTCTGTGCTACCTATTTTCCTGAGAGAGAGAAAAAGAGGGCGATAAAAATCTGTGGCATCTTTACTCCCAGTGCTACCTCCAGTTGATCTGTAACATATCTGCTGTGTGCATCTTTAAAGCAACATTTGTCCTATTCTTTGTTTCCCATTCAACTGAGCGTCGTAAAGTATACAGAGGAACGTATGGGAAAAAAGGAGGAGGGAGATTCCCATCATGAAAATGTGATGTTGAAATCAGAGTATGATAAGCGTGGAATGAATTTGATAATATAAGTATTAGAATACATATTAAAAGAGTAAGTCACTATTCTAGTACCCTAGCATCTACATAATATTTAGAAATTCTAAATGGCTTACATTTGGATTATTTAGGAATTTGGACTTCTAGTGATTGGTTGACATCTTCTCTTTCAAAAATCTTCACTGTGGGGTTAAGACATGATTCGGCATTGAAATAAACTTCCTGATGCTTTAAACACAAGAGATCAGTTTGGGTTGTTTTTCCTATAGGTCTCAATGAGTAGTTATTCACCTAAGAACCATCTTACAACCTATAGCCAATCAAATAGAATTTGATTGATTGACTAACAGTCACATCTATTTAGTAATAAACACAATAATTATAATAAAATTAAGCAAAATTGAGTGCTTTCAACAGGTGAGGCATTTCATCTTTACAACAAGCTTATAAGATAGGTACCATTATTTTTTTTAAAGATTGTATTTATTTGACAGAGAGAGACACAGCAAGAGAGGGAACACAAGCAGGGGGAGTGGGAGAGGGAGAACCCCCCCCGATGTGGGGCTCGATCCCAGGACCTCGGGATCATGACCTGAGCTGAGAGCAGACGCTTAATGACTAAGCCACCCACGCACCCCAATAGGCACCATTGTTATAAAGATGAGAAACTGGGCTACAGAGAGCTTAAATGAACTGCCTGGGATCCATATATTATGGCCAAGCAGGGAAAAACCTCCCCTGGCCAGCCCCACTTACACTAGTGCTTTCTCCAAATATCACAGCTACATCTCAGCTTCATTCCCCTTATCACAGACAGATGGATAGACACTCCTTCTCGAGTTTAACAACTTCACAGAGCTTGATTCAAATACTGAATGTGTTGTTAGTTGCTTACAGCTGCTATTTCTCTAGCCGCACAGTAAGTCCAGGCAAACTCTTTTGAAGAGCTCATTAAAACTGCTAAAATAAAGTCTTAGAAGCAGGTGCATTCATTAGCTGAAATGCAGACGATTATGTTAATATCACATTCAGGTGACAAATTTAAAGCCATCAAAATCATGGAGGATAAAAGGATTTTCAAAGCTAAAGTTAACTTCTTCCTTTGTAGGGCTCTTTGCTCTGTTAAACATGTGACTGCCTTTGCAGTGGCCAACATGGGGACCTCCAGTGTTACCTCACAAAAATAAAGCCATGTTTGCAGTATCGTATTTCCTTTACAATTTCTTGGGTCTCTATTCAGGAAAAGAAAGGTAAGGAATTGCCTACAACCCTAGTGTTATTTTCTAACTAAGAATCTTGGCACCTTGTTTATAATCTATTGTCAGATTAGGCCCAAGAGTAGAGACACATTAAAGAAGATGGTTAAAAATACGTAGCCATTGATTCCAGGCATGGATCAGACGGACCAACAGCTCTCCCACTTTGCCTTCTCTTTTTTCCTCAAAGAGTACTGAGCATGAAATACATATATGATAATACGTATGTATTTAGGAGGCGATACATCACAATGTAAACGATAGTTACTCCAGGGTGATTTTTATTTTCTTTGTGTATTTTTATATTCTCAAATTTTCTACAATGAATATGTATTGTTGCATAAAGTTAAAAATAGTTTTTTTAAAAAAATGTATGGAGCAATTCAACACATTCAGTTGTTTCACCTATAAAATTGGGTTACTATTTAATCACCCAGTATAAGGGAGCTGGATGAGATGTTTCCCCAAAGTTCTTTCTTCTCAAATCTAGGATGTCTATGGAAACATTGATCCTTCCTTTCAGAAGAAAATATAAGGAAATACGGGCTAGGTATCCAGCCACTTATTAAAAAGAATTATAAACATGTTTAAAGATTTTTACATCATTCCTCACCACCTCAATCAAGTGGGCATACATCAAAGTGAATTCATCTGCCACTTGAATAGGGAAAGACTGAGCAACGTTTTAAGGACCGATTAACTTCATTTTTAATTTTCTTAGCTATATATTCTGGGAAGCCTTCGTAAGCTAATACTTGACACAATGTTTTTTTTCAAATGGTGTACTACAGTAACTGTATTACTGATTGTAAAATATAAATGATGAAGTTGCTATAGATCTGACCCCATCTACAGATAGAACATGTTAACCTAATGTGTGCGTGTGTGTGTGTGTGTGTGTTTGGCTAAATAGTTTGAAATCAACAAACCAAAAGCCTGCTGGTACAATGTAATAGTCCTATTTTTGCCTTCTGTCCTCCTCAGCTCTTCTTCTATCTATCCTTTGTACTTTCTTTTTTTCCTACACAATTCAAAAGACCATTGACCCCATTTTAAATGAAAAGCAATATAGAAAACAGGAAATATCTCCTTGGAATGGGAATGAGTAAGCACCCCATGCAGTACTTCTGCATACAGGAATGCATACAGGCCTCTTTCGTGGTCAAGAGTGGTTTAACGGATGCCCTGCTCCAATTTGCCGTTAAGTCTCATTCCTTAGGACCTAGAGTATGGGCAATTCCTTCCACTGCTGGACAGTTCCAGCTCTCCTAGGAATACTCTCCCACACACTCCATTTCCTCACAGAAGTTGCGTGTTCAAGGCAAAGTGAGGAGGGTAGCCAGAAAACACACCTATCCTGATATGGAGCATCACCACCATAAGATTAGAAGGTAAACTTCAGAGCACAGAATTTAAAGATAAAAGGGACTTGAGAGGTCACATTAGTCAAGTTTTCTTTTAATGTCTTTTTTTTTTCTTTAAGATTTTATTTATTTATTTGACAGAGAGAAACACAGCGAGAGAGGGAACACAGGCAGGGGGAGTGGGAGAGGGAGAAGCAGGCAAAAAAAAAAGTTATTCCTAATCGGCTACCCTTTAAAAAATCAACTATTTTTGAATTTCTGTTACTGATCCAGGACCTCCCCAGTCTCAAGTAAATATAACCCTTCAGAATCCACAAGAAATGTGAAGAGTCTGAACCATTTGGTTTAAAGACATTTTGGAATTTTTATTAGTCCATGGTGTCCATCACACCGTGAGAATCAGACCCTAAAAAGGAAAATTGTATAAAGAATTTGTAAGCCTTGATTCCACAGTATTTCCCAAGTCTCTCCCAAATCCATCCCCCTTTGTCACTCTGATACCTGTACAACAAAGGGAAATTTCTGAGATTATTTTATCCAGGGATCTTTCCAACTCTTACAAATACCATCTCCACTGAGCAGTGTGTTCCCAGGTTACCTAAATTATACATATGGCAGTATTCCTTTCAAAGGAAATTGAAGAGTTTAGCAGTATTATGAAACTAGATGTGACAACACAAAGAACAAAAATAACAAAAGAAAATCTCTTCAAGATAGTGTGCCCTGCGCAGTTTGATATCCTGCCTTTTCATATTGGCTCTATGGGAAATTCTTTCAAGATGAGTTTAAAATGAAAGTGGTATTTACCCAAAGAATTCAAAGGGATACATGCCCTCCCCGCCCCCTGTTTATAGCAGCATTATTTACAATAGCCAAGATATGGAAGCAGTCCAGTGTTCATCAAATGATGAATGGATAAAGAAGATGTGGCATATATATATACACATATACATACAATGGAATATTACTCAGCCATAAAAAGAATGAAATCTTGCCATTTGTAACAACGTGGATGGAGTTAGGGGGTACTATGCTAAGTGAAATAAGTCAGAGAAAGACAAACACCATATGATTTCATTCATGTGTGGAATTTAAGAAACAAACAAATGAGCAAAGGGAAAGGCGAGAGAGACAGAGAGAGAGAGAGAGAGAGAGAGAGAAATCAAGAAACAGACTCTTAACTATAGAGAACAAACTGAAGTTTACCAGAAGGGAGGTGAATGAGGGAATGGGTGAACTAGATGCTGGGGATTAAGGAAGGCACTTGTCATGATGAGCACCAGGTGATGCATGGATCTGTTGAATCGCTACATTGTACACCTGAAACTAATAAAAGACTATATGTTAACCAGCTGGAATTAAAATTAAAACTTTGAAAATAAATTAATTAAAATTTGGTCCTAGGGCGCCTGGGTGGCTCAGTTGGTTAAGCAACTGCCTTCGGCTCGGGTCATGATCCTGGAGTCCCGGAATCAAGTCCTGCATCAGGCTCCCTGCTCAGCGAGGAGCCTGCTTCTCCCTCTAACCTTCCCCCCTTTCATGTACTCTCTCTCTCTCTCATTCTCACTCTCTCAAAATAAATAAATAAATCTTAAAAAAATAAAATAAAATTTGGTCCTCAAAAATGAAAGTGGTATTGAGTTTGGGGAAACAAACTCAGAAAATCAATTAGCTAATAGGATAGAAGACTGTGAACTACAATTTTGGCTAAATAAATAGAATAGAGAGACTTAAAAAATGATTATTTTTATTTTAATCAATTGTAAAAAAAAAACTATTGAAAAAAATTCAAACAACACAAAAGAATGTAAGGAAGAAAACAAAAAATACCCTCCCCACATTTCTCGCAGATCCAAATGGGTTATATTTACTTGAGACTAGGGGATCTTGGATCAGTAACAGAAATTAAAAAATAGTTGATTTTTTTAAAGGGTAGCAGATTAGGAATAACTTTTTTTTTTTAACATTGTGGTGTAATGCTGTTTGTGTTCTATCTACCCATCTATCACCCATCCACCACCTAAAAATAACCATCACAGATTTTATGGGAATACCATTCCAGACATGGAAATAAGAGATATATTAGAATTTTAAAGAGATTTGCCCTCAGGCAGTGAAGGGTGGTCTTATTGATGATGGTCTAAAGAGACCCCAAACCTAACTTTTTATAATAATGAAAAGTGAAAAAAAGGAAGTGAAAGGAACGAAGAATCCTCGGTCCATAAGCAATTGTAAGATGAGTTCAATAGAAATTAGCAGATATTTTTGTCTACCTATCCATGATCTGACTCTTGATTCAGCTGCATCAAAACATATTACAATAAGATACATTTCCATAATGTTTTCCAGTTTACAAATCAACTTTCTACTGAGTCTCATGGTCA